TTACCTCCTATTTTTATACGCGAAGCCCGAAGGCAAATTTAAAATTAAATCCTTTGCCTTGTAATAATATTTTTCTCCGCTTTATTTCGATCCGGTGGATAAATTTTTGTGGATAGGCACCGTCAATATTCTCACAGCAAGCATTCTGTTCTATTGGCTTAATTGTGGGCGCATTAATTTATTTGTGTTTATTTTGTCTCCTGGGACAATTGGTTTCAAATCGATCGCAAGCCGTATCTGCAGCGGCTTATATATATACCCAGTGGTACGACTATCCACTCGTTTTGAGAAAATATATTTTGATGACTATCGCCTACTCTCAAATCGATTTTAATTTAACGGCCCTTGGAATTTGGAATTGTAACATGGAAACCTTCAAAAAGGTAAATAAATTTTTAGTATTAACGATAAGACGATGAGAAAAGAATATTGTATTGTGTGATTCTAGATGGTGAACGCTGCTGTTTCCTATTTCATGGTATTCAGAAGCCATAGATAATTTACTATAGCAATTTTCAGAGTTTCCGGCAAAAAAAAAAACATATACACCCTCCAATCCAAAAGTTCCTAGACTTTTTAAAAATAATAGATACCAGTGGCGCCACCTACTGGATATTATATGCGTTAGAAAGGTACTTGCCCCACTGACAATATGTTCAAGTTTCATGATGATCGGATCACTGACACCCAAGTTATTGGGTCAGATATTTTAGAATATTTAAGGCTCGGTTCAAGGCCGAAAATTGAACACAGAATAGTTACATCGTCTCGTTCTCATCGGCAAATGCACTCGTTGGAAAGAGGATAGCCATACGAGATATCTCAAGCGAAAATGGAGAATTGTGCAATGTACATTATAGTTTTTTTGTTGACAAATGACTGAAAAATGAGCAAGAGCAATATCGTGAAAAAGTGACTTACTGTCTATTTCATGTTCTAGAGACTCTATACATCTGACTATCTGCAATAATAGTTATGGATTATTCAATATATAGGTCCTCAGTTAATATAAGGCTCATCAGAGCAAAAGATTCGATGATCGGTTCCACGAAATTCACAGAAAATTGGTCCAGGAAATGAGAATATCCTGAAAATTTGACTTTTTCCAAAGATGTCGATATGCGAAGCATGTACCGATATAGGATCTCGTGTCTTAGTTTTTCTAGCTTATAGACAGCATGAGCAATCATAATAAAATGGTTTTTGAAATATATAATTCTTAAAATTTTCAAAATTTATCACAAAAGTTGATTATTTTTTGTTTGAAATTCATTTTGTCACCGAGAGCAAAAGATACTAAAAAATAAGACGCAATATCTTGGACATGTTTACATCCGATCCTCATGAAACACCTTTTTGCTTGCACCTCTTTAGAAAATTTAGTTCAATATATTGTCTTAAATTTTTAAATTTATGGATTTTTTTTGACACAACCATTATCGAATGGTTTGAAACAATATGATGCCATAGAAATAAATTTTTCACAACTCATATAATTCCATTTAGAAAGCAACAAAAAATTAATGCGATCAAAACGATGATTGCATATCATGAAATTCGATATATTTGCAGCCATTGCACTTCTCACTTTCCTCTTCAAATAAATATCCACAGTATATTATTTCCCCATTATGGAATTTTCATTTCGGTCCTTCATACACATCAAGTCTACGTATAAAATTGTATTACACTCGAAGCATTTCACATATGGAATTGAATTGCCAGCAACTATTTCTCAATAATAAGCAATAACGTCATAACACTTGTTTATTTTTCCGTTCCTCTTTTGCTTTTTTCCCTCTCTCTCTCTCTCTCTCACTCATCAGTTCCTATTCCTTGTACAAGTTCTGTCAATGTCATCTAACTTGTTTCGTATTTCTTCTTCTTCTTCATTTTTTGTTATTTTTTCCTTTTCAATTTATCTAATGCGCAGTTCAATTGTAGAAAATGGCACATATAAATACATATTGCACGTTAGGTTCTTTGGGGATATCTATATATTTTGGATATGATGTCGACTATATTTGTGCATATTCCAATTTTCTTTTTGAATTTATAGTTCGTTATCATGGTTTGTAGCCTATTGAATGCATTATAAAGGCACAAATGTACATGAGGACTTTATGCTTGATGTTCATTTTAGTTGGAAAGCATGGAACTAAAATTAAATGTTTTATTAAAAATCATTATGGAATATTTGCCTTGATTGTTTCAATTTGTGATGGTGGTAGCTGGAAAAAACTTTAAATATGATCAGATAGAATGTGAAAAATCATGATATGACCATCATCAATAATGCAGCATGTAATATCCATGTCAAATTTTGAGTCATTTCTATTGAAACATAATGCCATTCAATGTTGTACAGTATGCATATATACCAATGATGACAGAACATGTAATGTACTCGTCCAATATCAAAATTACGAAATCAATTGAGTTTTTTTTCCTCAAATGACATGTCCTCGAACACAATATAATAAAAGCATGAGAAGCACTTTCATGTAAGACGTTAAGTGGCTCAACGAGAAACTGAGTACAATTTTCAAGTGATTTCTTTTATCACAGTCCCTTTTATTATGAATCCGTTTCGATTCGTTCATATTTCGTATGTGAATATGTCATCATTTGAGATGCCTTCAACTAGCCAAACGATGATACCCAAAAAATCGGTTTCTTCTTATAAACTGAAAAAGCAAATAAGTGCCGAAAACGGCAAATTGAAGTTACAAAAATACTTGGTTTCGAAATAAGTGATTGTTATTATAATCAAAACAACTGACCAAACATATGTAATAACAACAATATTTTTGATTGGGATCAATACATTCCACCCGTACGTTTGCATAATCGAAGAAACACTTTGTATTTATATGTAATGCATTCATGCACAAAGTACAGTTTTTTTATTGCTTTTCAAATGTACAAACTTTAATAAATATTAGAAAACAAGTACAACATTATTTGATGACATTCCAATGTATACCATGAGGTACTTTTTATGTTTTTTTTTTTAATCTTTTCACGTCGTGTAAACGCAACAATAATTTGTGGTTACACAGTGTGTACAAGTACATTTATTGATTATTATTTTTTTTATATTAATAAATCAATATTGCAATAAGTTTTTAAATATAAAACACTACACGCTGAATTCGGGATTAATTATTGACATACAAAAACAAATATTCTATTATGAAGCTAAATAAAGTCATTGCATTATTATTATTATTATTTTTTCAATATTTTTGATTAAGTATTTCAAATAACGAAAATTATTTTTCGGTATTTTATTTCAACAAAATTACAGAATCAATTTATTAAAAATGGATCATTGGATGTTTCTCTTTTTTTAAATAATAGTATTTTTTTTTTCTCCATACTTGAGTGCATTGCAGAAAGGGTGAATGAGTTTCATTCTAGGGGAAAATATCGAATAAAATAAGTTACGAATATGCTGCGTATAAGAATATAAACCGCATATACGGAAGAATATTTGCAAATAATATTTGCAAATAACTCCGTATATATGTGGTTTATACGCAAATATGCAGCGTATAAGCGGCATACTTGCGATGTCTTCATCTATTTGTAGTATATTCAGTAAAAAATACTTGCGTATAAACCGTATACGTAAACATATAGATAATTCCCCCTAGGTTTCATTTGTCCGTGATTCATTATATTTTGACGTGAGATTGAAAGAGAAAAAACAAGATGGAGAAGGAGTGTAATTGGAGTAATGTGTTCGTGTGATGAATGTGAATTGTTGAGAAGTTGCCTTTTTCTATAAACTTTAGAATGGGGGAAAACAGTGTTGCCGCAACGCCGTTGCGCATATGAGCATGTGGGTCGGTGTGAATACATTAAGTGTAAAGTAGATAATCGCCTAGTTTATCCAATATACGTGGTATTTGCACACACTTCTCCATGATGCACACATCAACTCTCTATTATCCCAACAGTTAGAATAATTGTACGACATTGTTTCGATTTACATTTTAAATGATTCTATAAATGTATTAAACGATTAATACGTTATATGGACATGGGCACTTGGGCAATAATGAAAACGTTCCAAACCTATGTGAGTGCTATGCATACGCAAGTCCAGCATATGAAAAATTGGCATGCAATAAATTTTCTGTTTGTTTTGTTTTAAAAGATATGCCAATTAATTTGCCTTGGCAGTTGAGTTTGGGTTGATTCTGAATTGACTTTAAATGTACCCTCAAACATGATATTTTTCACTTAATTCGCTATCATGCACGATAGATAGCGTGCAAAATTTCATTTTGAGCGAAGTATATGGAAAAGAAATTGATGATTGGGGGTTTGAAAATTCGACAAAACACCAACAATTTGGCACATTGAATGACACACATCTTCGTTTTTGTTGAGCGTATAAAAAAAAAGACAAATTCACAATGATCATATATGAGAATGCAGTTTGACATGAATGCATTTGATTTATTACACCGTTTTCCACATGTTGACAGTGAAGGAAATATATTGCATGCATTTTTTTCCATCTCGCTCACATTTGCTCTGTTCAATCGTTAACATTTTCTCAATTTATCGTTCGTCATCGATCCTAATTACATACGGGTACTGAGGCACCCGCACACGTCTATCTGCGAAACTCTCATAAAGAAAACCATTGTCAAATTTTCCATCGATGCACTTATATCTCATTGCCATTTCAAATTCAAGTGTTATAAATAAATTGTGTTAGCATATTTAATGATGATTTGCAAGTGGTTATGTTTGACACGCTAATTTCAGAGAATCCACAAATGAATCGTTCCGGAAACATTGCTTTTGCTGCTGCGTTGTGTTGTCAATTGCATAGTGGTTTTTTAGAGGTTTCAGACACAATGACTATGTGTGAGCATAACGCATACAACAGCAACACTAAGCTAGCTTTGGATATGATTCCTCTTTCGATGGTTTATTGAGGGCGCTGTTTGCAATACACAAAAATATTTGCACACAGTTCAACGTTGTCATTGACATTTGGACAGCATTCATTAAGCAAGTTGTACGACGTGACAAAACATAAATATCTCAACTCCGCTTAATCGACGCAATTAATTCGCATTTACATTTTTTTTTAAATAGAGCTCATTTTCAGACTCTATAAAAAAGACGTCGAATTGTATTTGAACAGCGACCGGTGAGCGTGGAAAATATATAAATTTTATGCAACGCTAATCGGATCGTTTCACAGTGTACGAACTTCGTAAGGAAGAATTATGGCTCCAAAAACCAATTGGCGTTTAATGGCTATAAGTAGTATAGCGAATAAGCAACTACACCGTTCATTTGCATTGAAAGCGGGTGAAAATCGCATTGGACGCTCATCAAAATTCGAAGTGCCAATTCCATCGGCAAAATGTAGTCGTCATCATTGTAGCATTTTTATTAACAACGACCAAGTACGACTAGTTGACTATGTGAGTATTATTGAAAAATTCATATAAAATTTTGTATGAACAAAGACAAAAAAGAACTTAAATGGAAATGGTGATACTTGAATATTCGATTTTGTGTAGAATTTGCTTTTGCAGTCAATTCTATAAATATTAGTGAACAAACGCGTGCACTTTTAATGTTGAAATTTAATCATAGTAATCTAAAATATTCCGTTTGAAATACTTGCCACCATAAAATACTTGCCATAAACGTTATGTGTTGACATTTTGAAATCTAATGCTTTTCAGTCAGCTTACACTCTTCCCAATCAGTTTACTAAGTACACATAAAATTCACATTCACACTCAAACAAAGTTGTCGTTGATTGTATGTCTGTTATTATTGTTTACATTTGAGGAATCGTTTTTGTCTTTTGTTCGTACTCAGTAAATTGTATGCATTGCTCGTGTGTATACGTTTTGTTATTGAAGCAGGCGAATAATATTTGTTTGTATTTGTGATTTTATGGATTATAGTCACGAAATGGAACATATGTCAACGAAAGTAAATTTGTAAAGCAAGAGGTTGATCGCCCGCTAGCTGAACGCGATTTGATGTCATTTGGTTTTGACATTTCGGGTGAATACAATTTGCATGATGTACATGCGTTCATTTATGTTCTAATTCGTGACAAGATAAATTGTAATGAAGTTTGCATTAGCGACGATGAAAATGTTGTGAACAATGAAACATCGAAACCAATTCGCAACAAGATGAATTGCGATGATATTTATATCAGCGACGATGAAAATATCCTGCACAATGAAACAACGAAATCAATTCATGAATTAAATCAATCTACAATTTTGTTGGCGTCACATCACAACAATTATGATGTCATCGCACGGGAAATCGTAGAAAAACAACGTGCTGATGAATTTGATGACAAAAGTGACTATGATTGTGTCGTTGTCAAAAATATAATGTCAGAAACAAAAGATATAGGTGAAATAATTTTTCAAATTAAAACTACACCAACTTCAATTGTAAAAAATGGTTCCAATAACGAGCCAAAGTTTACTGAATTGGATGTACCACCAAGAAAAAAAATCCGAACATTTAGGGAAATTGCAGAAGCGCGTCTCCGACGTGAGAAGGAAATATTCGGCAGATTTTCATTTTCAGAACCAGTTGGTAAAAATGATATTCTTGAAACTCACGCACCACCGAAAGAAATCGAAAGTATTTCAAAATCAAAAAATCAACCAGAAAATTCACCCTACGAAAGAGTGGCCAGAGGAAAAATTAAATGCAATATGAATAGTCGCGGTCTAATGTTCTACACCGATTTGATGGCAAGAATCAACACATCAAACAATCAATGAAACACATGTTAGATGGACTATTCAGTTTTATAAACAAAACTTATTGCTATATTCATATTTTTAAAGAATATTCTACACTTGTTTGAAATATAAATACAATCCTTTTTTATAAATGATTTATTATGAATATATGCCATTCTGATTCAGGAATACAGAAATTATACCTTCAATAAACAAGAATGCACAACAGAATTTGAAATCAATAAATTTTTTGATCTATTTTGATCAAAATGTTCTTTTTCTTACTAAAAATGTTTTCATGAAACTTACTACGTGCTGGGGTAAGTAGAAACTTCTTCTAATTTCTGAAAATTAAAAAAAAAAAAAAAAACAGAAAAACATTAGAATCATATGGCAACTCACATGGAATAGTATTGTTTGTATTAATGTATACAGAAAAAGCCAATCGCCTTAGCCATTTCCATTAACAACATGTGCTACGCTCATTTATATCGCATTTATGGTGTGTGAATATGATTTTATTTGTAGGTGCCAATAAAAGAAGTAAACAAGGCAAACACTTTTCGTTTTATGGATTTTGGCAACAAAAGTGACGTGCGTTCACTTTTTTCTCGCTTTTCATCTATGTTTAGGTTTGATACAAGTTTAGCTCAACATCAAAAAAATATTATCGACATTTATTTTTTCGGTTTTAGATGTTTCACTGAGTCATCAGAAATGTCTTGATTTTTTTTATTTGGAAATAACTTGATTTTTTGTTTGTGTAAATAGATTTGGAGGCGTCACCTTTTTATTATCAATGGTAAAGACCAATCATTTTGGTTCTGGTTTTTCAACATGCGTGCATTCAACCTTTGGCTGTAATTATGATTAAATTATGAATTTCATTTATCGGTTAATTTTGGGTAATCAAAATTCATTTCAGTTTATAGAATGCTTTTTGGAAAATGCTACCTAAATGGCTTCACGTAATTTTCTATGTCATTTAAATTTTAAATAGATTTTATGAGCAATTTATTCATAAAAATTCTTCACCAAGCATCAAACTTCTTTTGAAAGAATTATGAGTGATGTGACGATCGCATTTACTTGAATTTGTTATAGACTGTATGACTTTGGCCTTTTTTCGAATAAGTTCCTCAAGTTATGTTAACACATATCAAAAAAGATACACGAAATCAAAAAGAAAAATTTTCTGCAGCCGGGAAATATTTTCGATTATTATGTCGTGGTTTATGTAAAATTGTAATTTGAAATTATTGCTAAATGATTAGGAGCGCAAGCATCTATGTGTGAGTACATGTATTTTATGTATTATAAAACCAACATTCTAATACTTTTCTCCTCCACCGAACAAAAAAAAGGGGCAAAACATTAAAAAAAACATGCTTTAACCGAAAATAAAATTTCAACACCCAGAGAAAAAGATCAAGTCCAAATGCTAATAATATCATTATTATCATGAGGGAGGTAAACATAAGTCTTCTGCATTTAATTTGTGTATGTGGTATGTAATTTCATTTTCTGGCTCCCTTTAGTACGGATACAACAGATGCTCTGTGTGTACGATTTTTCCTGGAGCTTGGTGTGCTAGGTCATAATATTTTTACCGCCTCGTTGTTGGTAGCCATTATAATGGATGTGCTGCCGAAAGATTATTGTTATCATGGGAAATGTATCATGCACCAACAAATGAAAGCTTGTAATAATATTAATAATCATTCACTACTGCAGTCTCAACAACACCATTTGTGGACAACTACCGTTAGATGTAACGGTGTTTAAATCGGTACACATGGATTTTATGAACTCAGCTTCAACTAATATGCATGCAATGTGTAAATGCTACATAACATATTTGTTTGTTTAGCAGGCTCAGAGGTCACAGCTTCATATCAACTGAAAAACACTTATAATCACATTCACTCATACATTAATTTATTCATTCACTCATATGACACCAAGGAGAGCGACAGAGTTATTGAAAAATCCAGACGAACCTACCACTTTCATACTAAGGATCAACCGAAAAAAGTATTACTTTACACATTCAGTTTTATGGTCGTATTGAGTAAATTAGCGTATGAATTACGAAATCTAAAAACAAAATATACCACACAAACACTGGGAGAAAGTGATATGCCAAAAAATAATTTGAATTCAATAAGTTGGTTTGGTTCATTCATTCTCAACATTGATGATATTAAATTGGTTTGAATAGAATTCAGGTCAACAATACCAAATATTAATGTTTCTTGAATGACGTAAGATAATGCGCTCAATAAGCGTAATGCTTTGATTGCCGAACTTCGTACAGGCAGCGCCATCTATATATAGAATGAGATATTATTTCATAAGTTTGAGAATGAGCGCATATGTTATTCCAAAAATTGTTGAAAAATAATTTAATAAATTGTTTCATTTTTTTGTTTTGGAAATGAAGTTAGCACAATTAGCATTAGATAATTACAATACGTTTACTTAGCACAATTAGCATTAGATAGATACAAAACGTAATGTTATTGTTCTCTTACATACCTGTCATACACTCGTGCGAATTAATTTGTTCTGTTAAGTTCGTTTATTCCGTTCATTTATTTTATTTATATTCTTAATCTCGCAATCACATCGCAAAACTGCGTAAAAATGGCAGATTCTATTAACAATTTAATTGATCTTGACACCGGCTGTATAAAATTTCCTGATGCAAATGGTACAGACAATTCACTCCCGTGTAGTATACGGGCGCTAATTTGAAGTCGCAGGCACTCTTATTCGCGCTATCGGCGATTCCTCTTTAAACATTTTCGCATAAAGACACAGCAACAGAATATGAGTTATGCATACAGTACATACAGTCGTCAGAGTCACTTACTAGCATAGCACACAATATGAATAGTATGCACAATGTGCATAGTGTGCTATGATATTGAGCGACTCTGTGGACTGTATGTACTGTATACATAACTCATATTCGGTTGCTGTGTCTTTTTGCGAAACTGTTTAAAGAGAAATCCTCGATAGCGCGACAAAATATTTTGCGCTCTCGGTCATTCCTCTTCCAAAGCGCAAATAAGAGCGCCTGCGACTTCCATTTAGCGCCCGTATACTACACGGGTACACTCAACCGATTTAATCCCAGTATACGACAAGCTGGAAACTTGTTCTGTTTAGTTCGCCAAACTTTATTCTGTTTAGTTCGCCAAAAGATAAAGTGAGGGCGTTAGTGTGACAGATTTCATAAAGAAAAGCTACTGTATTAGAGACCTTCGTAAGATAGAAATTATATCTTGAACTTTGTTCATAAACACTTAAAGTACGTTTTGAATTTAATACAGCGTTCTCGTGTGTGATTGAATATTCGTAAAATTCCTATTCGAGCGATTAATTTCTGTTAATATTCTACGATGATTTTAAACTCTATTCAACCGCAAATCTTTGCAATTTGCATGAATGTATCTGAAGAATGTTTATATAGTACAGGGTGTCTCATATAATCGGGTTTTCCAGGGGGGTGGGAATTTTGAAAAACCCTTTGGGGAGTATGTTGGGGATAAAAAATAAAAAATTTCTATCTGAGCAGAATTTTGAATTTTTCCCCAGGGTGGTGGTGGTGCCCCAAATTTTTCAAAAGTTCATCGGATCAAAAAATAATGTACTACAAAGTTGTTCAGAATGATGAGAAATTTTTTTAGGACGCCTGCCCTCCAAGGCAGGACCCCTGTCCTCCATCCCTTGAGGGGGTCGGGGGGTCAAAAACCCCCCAAGGGCAGGGGTCCTAAAAAATTTCTCTCATTCTGAACAACTTTGTAGAAAATGACAAGCAATTGGAATAATTGCTGAAAAAATTCCGAAATGCCGTTTTGGAGAAACACCATTTTTTGGGGGGGCGAAATCGACCCGAACAAAATATCAATTCTTAAGTATTTTTGCATGCTGATTCCGAAATTCGGAGTTTCAGGTCAAAAAAATAATATCTTGGGGTTTTGACCCCCGACCCCCTTAAGGGATGGAGGACAGGGGTCCTAAAAAATTCCTCTCATCATTCTGAACAACATTGTAGTACATTATTTTTTGATCCGATGAACTTTTGAAAAATTGGGGGCACCCCCACCCCCCTGGGGAAAAATTCAAAATTCTGCTCAGATAGAAATTTTCTATTTTTTATCATCAACATACTCCCCAAAGGGTTTTTCAAAATTCCCACCCCCACCACATTATGTCATTGCATTTCATAGACGCGCACCAATTTTGATCGTTCAAAAATTCAGCCAGACTTTGATCAACACAGATACATTCACAAACTAAGTTTGTGCCACAACAAAACCTTTCATCATTCAACGTCATCGAAATTGTCGTCGACGTCGTCGTCCTTCTATTCAATTAATTTCTACAAGTTGCATTATTGCTGTTTATGCACAAAACATATAATTTTCTGGTATGCAAATCACCTATTTCATGTATCTGTTACTTTTGGTCGTTCAACAATGCAATGATAATGTTAACTTTGTAACTTTCGAACAATAAGCATTGAAACTATTTGCAGTTTCATCTTTGTAGCAAAATGCATGTCAGCGGGAGAAAGAAGAGAGAGTCTAAAGCTATTCTGGTCGTATGACTGAAAAGTTTTTCAGTGTTCGACCGAGGGAATTTATCACGCAATGCTGCAGCTATATTTTTGTGCTTTAAGCTTCTTCAGTCTCATTTTTCTTTATTGTTTTTATTTTCTCTCTCTCTTCGTTTGCCGTGTCGAACAAATGCACCAGAAGTTTGTTGTAGTTGACTACCAAAACGTAGTCAAAATGACTAGGGGCTTAATACGGCAAAAAAATTCACAGGAATTCACTTAAATTCACACTTTTGAATCGAGTGGTTATTGATGAGTTCGGTGAATTCGTGTGAATAGAATGAAATGTGTCAAAGTAATAAAGTGAGGTTATGATAACCGCAATATTTTTTAATTTATTATTTTTTCAATATTTCCGATTGTTTCCGATAGAAAATCGCTCAAAATTGAAAATAAAATTAATTTTTATTAAAAAAATATAAAAAACATTTACAATTTCGTTACACAAAATATAAATATTGCAGTAATTGCCAGCAGAAACTATTCACCACTATCTCACATATTTGAATGAAATCGCCGTAGAATTCACTGGAATTCATTCGTTTGCAGAAAAATTTAGTTAATTTAGATATTATTATAGAATTCAGTC